AACCAGTTTGACGCCATTAGTTGTTTGCTGGAGTGAATTCTACCTCAGACAACTACATTTATTAGTTGTCTGAGGTTCTACGCGTGATTTTATTGCCTACAAAATTGTTTCATTTCAAACTGTGCATGCTCACACACAGTGATTTTTTTGAAATGCGTACTAATTTGGTAATTTGCCGCTGGTAAAATTTATTGAAAACATTTTGAGCAATTTTGAGCAATAGTACTAGACTGAAATATCGACATACTTCTACATTCTCCATGAATTTCGTAACTTGCGATGGTCACGTTAAAGAATAAAACGTAACGATAGAATCAGTCAATTTATAACGACCATGTTGGCTGTAGAAAGGCATTTTGGCACAGTTTTACTGAAAAGACGAGTTTTTCATTGCTCATAAATATTTAAACCAATCGTATCATGCACCCCCCCCCCCCCGGGACAAGTCATTGACGCTGCAGGTCGGCGTTCTTTCTACACCGACCTGGCGCCGAACTCCGCACAGTTCGATGCGCGTTACTTATCATCACTGCACAAAGCTGCTTTGCATATAACTCATTTGCATACTCGAATATGTTCGAACTACAAGACCCTGTCGGTTAACAAAGTTATGCGTAAATCACTTGGTTACTTATCAAAAATAAACAAGTGAAAAATACCGTTTTTATTTATTTCAATTACATTATAACGAAAATAAAATGCAACAGAACTGTTTCGGTCTTCTGATCACACCAGAACACACACATATAAACTTCTATATGCATGGGATCCAGCATATATCGTAAGTGGGAAATTATGGTTTTTATTGTCACCAGGTAAGTGAGATAATCTTTGACAGCCAGTGCAATTAGCTCGCCGTAATCGTCTAGTGGTTAGGACATTGCGTTGTGGCCGTTGTGGCATTACTCCACAGGTGTAATGACATGGCAGTACTGGTTACTATTATAACAGAATATTTAAGGTAAGACGAGATTTAAAAAGAAGATATTATCTTGGGTATATGATCCAAAGCATAACTTTTTCAGTAAATTATTGATTCTTTTTGTTTTGAAGAACGTTGGTGGTATTTTATGTCAAACCGACCGTTGATGGCGCTGTGTACGGTCAAGTGTGATGGTGAAAACCCACGCAGTTCTACTAGTAGTAAATAATAATAATAGTCTTTATTGAAGTCGTATCCTGAAAATGATCATAGTACAATAAAGCATTGTTGTCATTCCATGTTAGAAACGTTCAGAATAAAAAAAGCATAAACTAGAAGAAAAAAACAAAACAAAACAAAAACAAAAAACTTGGATTAGAAATGCAAATTAATAAAGTAAATGTAAGGATAAGTTATTTAGATATCTGTGAGGCAGCTGTTTTTTTTTTAATTTGTTTTCTCTTAGGTTGAAACATTCATATATGTATTTTGCTAGACATTTTTGCATGACAGTATTCTTTGTGCCTAGTATGTTGTTAAAACTTGTATTAGTGTTGCCTTCAGAACACTGTCTAATAATGTTGAGAAGGATCTGTCTTTCATGTTTGGGTTAGATTTACTCATTGTGTCTAGTTTAATAATAATGTCATTTTTAAAATCTCTCTTACGTTTTTAGGATCCGTCTGTAATTTCACTTGAGATTATAGCATGTTATTCTATGTTGTTTATTTTATGGATGCTGACTGATGATATTTTTTTATTTATTTTTTCATATTATTGAGATCTTTTGTAAACCATTTAGGATTTTTGTTTATTATACTATTTTTTTATATATTTTTCTTCATAATTTTTTTTAGACTTTTATCAGCTGCCCCCAGATATATTTTTGAGATTAGTAAACTAGCTTCATTAACTGATTCTTGATTTCCACTGAACTCTTTCCTGTTAAAAACATCAATTAGTTTACCAATACAAGGTACTGTTAAAATGTAATTTAGATTCATCGTTCCATAAATAACTAAAAGTTATTTTTCTGTTTATCATTGTAATTGTCATATTTGGCATCCCTGTACTTTGTAGATGCATTAGTTTGAAGGTGAAATGATATCTGACAGCGGGTCAGAAAGCGATAAGTTAGGTGGGTGAACATGAAATGAAAACATGAACATGAAAGTTAAATTTCTCAAATAAATAATTACTTGATATGGTATAATCCACTGTACTGCTACCTCTAATTTGGTGGCATGTAAATTTACCACCGCAGTCCCCTATACATTTACCATTCAGAATGATTAACTCAGTGGCCATACAAAGATCATTCAGAATGATTAACTCAGTGGCCATACAAAGATCAAGCAGAAGCTCACCGTACTGATTCTTAGTGGCCATGTCTTATGACGCCCGGCCCTCTTTTTGAACCAGGTGGCAGAATTGGATACTGTATATACTGTATTGTTATACATAACTAATTCTTGTTCATTTTTAGTTCTAGCGTTGGAATACCCAGCCAGAATTATTGCTCCTTTTTTCAAATTTGGCAATATCTTATTCTAGTAGCTGATACAGATTGCACTCTTGCCAAGTGAAAATACTAGACGACTATGGACTAATATATAGTGTACATAGAAATAAGTCCTGCTCTAAATTGAAAAATTTTTTGTCGAGTTGTAACCAAATAAAGTCTTCCGAAGTTCTATTAACACGCTTTATACCTTGTTGTATATGGTTTTAAAATAGAGGACTACTTTATATATTCCTGTCTTTACGCGAACTTAGGCTTTATCGTTGACTGGTCCATTCGTCACACTGGTACTCAATCCCATTCCCATAGGTCTTTGCGCTTTACCCAATAGTGCATCTGCTACAGACAGCCTTCAATTTTGTGGTCAATCACCTCACTACGCACAATCAGACGTTTGTCATGTTCAACTTAATAAGCTTAGCGCCATGCGAACTTGAATTAAATTATCAAGAAAAAAATAATCATAATTATGAATATACACATTTATTTTAGACAGTTTAGTGTCAAATTAACTGGTTTTAAGCGCTTGAGGTGCAATTCAGTTTAACTTACGTACATCAATGTAGCCGCCACATTGATTTTTGACCCCACCATACACAAACTCCAAGCAGTTCGCGAATGTTGTACGAGCAGCGCCCTCACCCGGAAGAATGGAGTGTATGAGGGAACTCGGGGAAGGTTATTTATATACCTATGTTTATTCATATGGTTTATTCAGTACTAAAGACCATTGACCTATATATACGAGATATTATAAAAAAAACATACAAAAATGAATGATAAATCAGTTATATGTTCCTCTCTTGAAAAGGTAATGTGGATGACATGGCGTTTATGGTCGTTCGGTATTTCGACCTATTAAAGAGGGTGAAAATTTGATCACAATCGTTTGTTTTGAAAGTGCAACTTAGTTATAACTTTACCTTTATCTATAACATTTTGAGTGCTTTTACCCGGTACAAAACATCGGTTTAGGATAAAATCGTGTGACAAAATGCCAAACATTTGTTTTTGGAAAATCCACAGTAATTCATGTAAAAACACAGAACGATATTTTCACATATGAGATCTTCACACCTATAGAAACCAATTAACATGCCATTGCATTATCATTGGATGAGCTACATTAATAGATCAGCCAGTATAATTAGCTCGCCGTGATCGTCTAGTGGTTAGGACATTGCGTTGTGGCCGCAATAACCCAGGTTCGAATCCTGGTCTCGGCATTACTCCACAGGTGTAATGACATGGCATTGCTGGCTAATCTTTTTAACAGGACAATATTGTAGCATCAATTTCTCAGTGGATTCGTCTTGTTGGATTATTATTTCTTATTTTCTTAGTGGATGGCATTTAATGTTAAACCGGTCGTTGGTGGCGCTGTGTCAAGTTCAATGGTGAAAACTTTCCCAGTGCGTTTTACCGCTTTAATATACGTTTTGTTTTACAAGCCTGTGTTAACGATGTGTTTTGTGCTGAAGGTAAAGTAATATAGAAACAAAACAATTTAGATGATATGTGAAAACAAAATCTACTCGCCAAAAAAAACATGTCGCTCTCGTCGTCGCCCCGACAAATCCAATGAACAATCTCTTAAATCCAGTTATAACTCCTTCTGTCTTTTACCTCCATGATCCGATGAACAAACCTTTTTTATTGCTGGCAGGTCTAAAGAACTTAATCAACCATCACGGTGAAAACAAAGGCCGAACAATCTCAGAAAACGGTACTTTGAGATGTTGTTGAGACTCCCTTGAACAGTGTAACACGATTACCCCTACATGTACAACATATATAAATTTGGTTTTTCAGGATTACTTCGAAGGTGATTTTGTGCTGTTTTCTCGAATTTGGCTATTTTCACCGGCTCTTTGACCGGCGTTCCATAGCAGCTCACACAGAGCCCATAGAAATACATGGTAATGTGGTGCGCGTCTTAGCAAAGTAGAACGTCTTGTGACGTAGCTCCGCCCGAGGATACGCTTTCTTGCGAGCAGAAACACTTTGAAACAAAGCGTTAACGTCAAGTGTTTATTTTCACCGTGCAACTTTCCAATGCAAATAAAAAATAAAATTGGACGAATTTCAATCTAGTAGTAACTCGTGTTGTTACTACAGGTAACAGGTAATATAACTTGCGCGCCCTCAACGGTGAAGTTATGCGAACCATTATTAATAAGCATAGAATTGAGTATAAAAAAAATGAAAATACGTTTAATAGTCTAAACTGGTTTGAACAAAATACAGTTAAAGGCAAATAATGTTCCCAATCGAAAAAAAAAGAAAAAACTAAGCAGCTATGCCATGTCATTACAACCAACCGGAGTAATGCCGAGACCAGGATTCGAACCTGGGTTATTGCGGCCACAACGCAATGTCCTAACCACTAGACGATCACGGCGAGCTAAACGCTGCTTGGAAATTACAGCCGATTTTAGAAACCATATACTTAAATGTAAAATGTAGTTGACATTTATAAGTTCCTGTATCGAAGCATTTGTTTTATATGATGTTGGTTTGCGAATTTTCACTAAAACTATTGCATACGCGATCTAGCTAAAAAGTTGCGTAGTCCCCAATCGGTAATGATGGAACCCGTCACGTGCACGTTTCGCATTAACACTTCCGGGTTTGCGAGATACTGGCGGTGATTGAAGACAAATGTTGGCGAAGCGATGTTGCATGCAACGATACAATAACATTTCCACTAGTACACTTAGATATCGAACACACATGTCACGAGTGTTCGCTATATCGGACATACACGTCGATCACCCAGCCAATTTAGACTGGATCAACGGCTGGTCTGATCAAAGGTATCGAGACGATGTTCTCATCGTTGCTGGGGATGTCACCGATTACTTGCCTTTGCTTGAATCGACGTTGTCCTCTTTCAAGAAGAAGTTTAAATCAGTATTTTATGTACCAGGTAAGGATAATGTTCGATAATATCTTGTCAAGACTCATTCTTCAAGCCTCTACTTATTATTACTGACGTTCGGTCAATGCTTGAAGGTGACACGAATACAATCGATGTAGTCACGTCACAGTCGAACTCGGCCACCATGTAATCACCGTGGTGGTCGAGAGATTTCAATAACTCACATGACTGCTATGTTGTCGGTTTTACTGACCCGTGTTTACAACAACAAAAAACACAGACGTTGGGGCTTTCTGTACCAAAACATCGACTACAGATAAAATAAAAATGTTACAGCGCTGCAGTATCATCACAGAGATCAATAACACCCATTTATCTTTTCACCACCAGTTCCTTCTTTTCATCACAAATTCACAAAATAGCCCTGTTTATAAAATACCCAATATTTTTGAGTAAAAACTGACAATTGACTCAAATTTTGTCCATTGGCTACAAAATTAGGGTTTATTTCCAGAAATATTAAAGAATATAAGAAAAAAGTGCAGAAAACTTGATCGAGAAAGTCTGGTGGTGAAAAGGTTAACACCTAACCCGCTGAATTCTACCGCTGACCAACTTCTACTGCTGGCCGAGCCCAAATCTTGATGATTTCCGTTGTCACCAATGACACAAAGTGAATACAGTACTTCTCGTGCTGAACTTGAAGTGTGGTGTTGTGGATGATGTCTGGTACCCCAGCTGATGCCATCATGGCTATCAATCATATCAGTAAACTGGCAAACAGTCTCATGAGGTCTGAAAATCCAAATAATCTGTAATTATTTGGATTTTCATTCCTCAACTCTGGCTCCATGGTCCCATGATGTTACACTCCAGCCATGCCATCCTTGGCCCACCAGTCATGCCATCCTTGGCCCACCTTGACTATTGACATATTCCCCACCATCTGGGTACATCAGACAGTCTCTGAACACCGTGAGGGACTGTGAACTGGCAGATAGATTTCAACAATTGAAAACTATAGACATACTCCCTGGTCATGCTTAGACACAAAACACTTCACCCGGCACCCCTCCTCCCTGAGCCATGTTTCATGGTAAAACCAATTTAATCTCTCATAAGTGTCCCATATCACCCGGGATGGGAGGAGAGGGTGTCTCAGGGATGTCATTGACTGCAGTGTCCTTTGTTGGCAAGGGAACGGGGGAGATTGGCTTACTGAATTAGAAAAGACTGCTGATACAATTTATATTATTTTACAGTATACAGTTAATAATTGTCATCTCAAATTCTTGTTTACTTGTCAAAATCATGTGGTGCTTTGAATGGCCATGGTCTCAGTGATTACTTGTCACAACAGTCGCAGGACAACAGTACTATAATAAGGACATGTCTATTCTGTTTTCAATGTGTTTATTGACAAAAAAATTTTGGATATCTTGTGGTCATCTGCCACCTACCTGGCTGTGTGTTTGTTTACATGTTCAAGTTGTGCGTTTCATTTGTGTTGTGTTACCAGTAATTAATATGGAAGTGATCTTTTCACCTGCTCACACCACACAAGTGACATTTATCATTGTGGATTTCAGCATCTGTATTAACAATATTTTTCTGATTATCATTTCGATATCCAAATTCACTTTAAATTTGACAGCCAGCACAACAGTCATATAAAATAGTTAACTGGTATTGCAATGCTCTTAGTGTTCAATCAAGTACAATCAAGAAAAAAAAAACATCACAAGGAAAATATTATTTTTTTAAAAAAACTTGTTTGGCGCATTCAATTTTCGTTTCGTCTGCCACACTTATTCTCAGGTGACATACAATCGATGATGATAACTAAACCCATGAATGGCTATGTTTATATTTGTATGTTCAACGGCAGTAACAAAAGCCGCAGTCTCGTACTTGAAGATATCAGTGATGGAATCGCAAAACACAGAATTATCATGATTGGTGAACAAAAAATTAAATGACATGCACACATAATTATTAATGGTGGTGTTTATTTTTTTTCAATCCCTTGTTTAAGAATATTTTGGTGTAAGGCAACATTTCTCGTCATTGAACAATACTGCATGTTTGGAAGGCTGGGGAGACTGTACTCGATTTTATACTGCCAAGTGGATAGAACCTCTCGAGGCAAACATGCTAATCATTGTTAGTTAAAAAAAATATAATAAATCATCAATGAGTAAAACTGAAAAACTCTTATGGCAAGTTGTAGCCATACCTCCCTTCCTGTTGCAATTATCAGACACCATATTTGGACATCATATTTGGTCTAATAATGTTTTCACCATATTTGATAATCATGTATTATGTTGTCTCTATATTAGGTAATCATGAATTATGGCTGAGAAAAAACCCACGACCAAGCCAAATATCTAACACCCTTATGGATTCAATTCAGAAATTCCAACACATACTATCCATCTGTGACACTATAGGAGTTCACACAACACCTCAGAGCATTGCATGCGTGGACAACACCCAAGTAATGATTGTACCATTGTTTTCCTGGTACTCAACCCCGGAGACAGACGAGGTGGATTCACTTTATCTATCAGGACCACATCCGGACAATGTTGAGAAAATGAACAAAATGTGGATGGACAATCATTTCTGTGTTTGGCCGCACTTGGAAACAACGATATCTAAACACTTCGCTGCATTGAATAACAAGCATGTTAAACAATATAGCATTCCTGTCATCAGCTTCAGTCATTTTCTACCAAGACAGGATCTGATTTTGGCTTGTAAAAAGGATGAGGAAGCAGTTGCTAGGGAACAAGACCTGTTGTCCTTGGGGAAGCAGAACCTTCCACGACAAGGTTCTACGATTGGGTTTAACTTCACAAGGTTTGCTGGATGTAAGATTCTGGAGACTCAGATTAGAAGGCTCTGTTCACAAGTTCACGTGTATGGTCACCAGCACCGGAATCGGGATCGTGACATTAATGGTGTGAGATATGTGTCCCACTGTCTGGGTTATAAAAGGGAACGTGATCTTGGGCTAATGTGGGGTTTGGTGGACTGGGAAGGACCAAAGCTAATATGGCCATTGCAGTGATTTTCAAACATTTGAAATAAATTAAAGAGACAGTCAATCCTACAGTTGTCTTAGTTTATGTGCATGTATAATTCTAGTATGATCTCATGATTATTTATGCGAAAAATTAGATCCCAATTTAAAGTTTCACTCAGAGGTCATTCCTAATGCTTTAGTTTGACTGTTTTGTGAAATATTTGATGGTGTGAATTTGTAGTAGAAATTATCAACCAAGCATTCACGATTGTATACAATGTTCATTGTATACTGGATCATTATAATATGAGATTATTACGAGGATACAGCAAGAGTATTGACTGATGTGTAGCAGAGGTCGTTGTGATGGCGTACTGTCTGAGTGCATACTTTGTGGTATCCTCGTAATAACCTTATCATGGGAATGCCGAAATACAAAAACTATAGAACAGAATCAGCGAACTTTTTTGTGTGGAGTCTGGTCAAACCCTGGTGGCAGCCATGTTTGTTTTTATTATTAGACTACACTTATGTGTGTAATCATTCCACATTTGGAATTTGCTTTTTCTATTATGGTAGGATGAAAATACCCCGTAAAATACCGCAAAATTATGGCATGCTGTAACTTATGGCATTGCGGTGACAGATGTATAATAATATGACTTATTTTGACTACAGACATGTCTGTCATGTTAATAAGCGTATGTGCTACTAATAGAGCAAATCAATATGGTATAGGAATATGCAAATTGTGGAAAACATGCAGGAGTTATTTCATAATTTAAATAACTGAAGCCTGTAGTTACAAAAGCATGAAACATGA